TTGAAAAGTTTCTTTAAGATGAAACTCTATTTAATTGTGTCATGCATGTTCTTATGTGAAACATTAATAAAATACGTATAATTCATAATACAAAATTTTTTTGAATTATCGCTCTTTTCAATTTAGTTGGATCGAAGATTTGCATAATTTTTTTTTGAGTCCCGTGAATCCTGTGATTACAGTAAGGTAATCTCTTAAACTTCGTTATATTTTGTGGAACTCATTGTAAAATTCATATATTTTCCTTTTATTGGTAAATAAGCTTATCGCTCTTTTCGATTTAGTAAAATCGAGGATCTGCTGTAACGAATAAATTTTTCTTTTCCTTTTTTTTTTTTATCTTTTTATTTACTAAATGGAATTGATTTTGGCTTGGTGATTTACTTCATGCAAGCACATTTATACTCAAAATATCACATCTGTGATTACACAAACCTAAGATCTAAATGTATACACCTAAAAAAGCATGCACGTTTAAATTAAAGTGAATTTATTCAAAATTAAGTGTAAATGTTATATAAGTATTCTGAATTCAATAAAAAGCTACAGTTCTTGTTCGCTTTCAAAATATCAATAAATTATAAAGTTTCATGCTTACTTTCAATAACAAATAAATAATAAAAATAAAGTTTTATCTTTTATTGTTTTTGAATTTAACTTGCAATTTTAATAAACCTATGCAAGATTTAATTTGACAAATTAAATTGACTTGTAACTTTGATTTGGTCTAATTCTAGTATATTTATAGAATCAAATATTATTATTATTATTATTTTGTAAAGTGAGGTCTTGCTTGTATCTTTATTAATAATTTTATTTAAAAATAATAATTATCACAGGTAAAAAAAGACCAATCAGTATAGTTACTGATTTTAGATAAATATTTAAATAGAGCTTAGTCAGTATTCTGATTTGTATTTGATAAACACTGATTTGAAGTTATTTAATAATCTGAATAGTTACTGATTGTTTACAAATAATAGCTTAAATCAGTATAAAATATACTTCAATCAGAAAGTTGATTTGAATTAATTTGTTTATTTAAATACTGATTGATTTTAAATAAATAAATATATTACAATCAGTAAAATTACTGATTGAATAATTTTTATTAGATAATAATTAACTAATTATAATTTATTTATAAATAAGAATTGTAATATAGTTATTTAGAAAACAATCAGTATAAATTATTGATTTAATCTTATGTATACAATATTGGGCAAATAATAGTAATTTAGCAAACTGGAGAAAATGAGCATGTGTCGCTTCACGGAATGTATGCTAATCATTTGCCCAGTCGAGCCAAATTATTGTATTTGACAAATAGCCCAATATTGGAGTTATTCAGCAAATTATGATAGATTGAGTTTTAATTTGAATAAACATGATTATCTCATAACACGTTAAAAAAAATAACAAGGCAGATGGCAATTCATGATCCTAAGAGTTTGCCAGAAATAATATATAAGCAGCATTTTTATAAGTTATGCTAATTTGCATACGAACAAGCATAAATAATTCATAAAGTCATAAAAAAGTAATCACTGTTCTTCAGTTAATCTCTGTGCTTTTCCGAATTTTTATAACCTATTACAAGAAAATGTACTATTGAATATGACTCAAAGGTCATCCATTCTGTCCCCTCCGCTCAGCCCAATTATGACACAAGTCAAATGTCATGAGTCAAATGTTACAGCACAAGTTAAATATTACAGCATATATCAAGTATTTATTACACGGCTCCTAATTGTTTACCCATGACTTTTTTTACTGATATTTTCACGCCTGATATTTTCACAGCGAATTTTCCTTTTTGTCGTTTTTTTTTTAGATTGTATTTGGTTTTTCGTAAATTATCTTTAAAGAATATAACCAAGAAAGGATTCTTAAAAGAAAGAAATTTTATTTTGCGTGAAGAAAGCCATGAAAGTCTTGTGGAAAATAATAGTTATAAAGTCATGGGTGTTAGGATCCCTGTAATAAATCAGTTATTACACGTATTTGTCGTCGACATCATGAAACATCCCGAATCAGTCTCAGTATCATGCATCATTGTGGCTACACTACAATATTACATAATATCTCGACTGATACGTGATGTTTAACGATATCTATAATAAACGTGAAATAACTATTACATATTAAAACTGGTGAGGGATTATATCCATCACAATTGAATCCAATATAAATAATTTAATTTGTGATTGATCACAGGAGAGAGGGATTCACTCTGGATTGGGCACTGTCTCTGCTATTTAGTTTATTACATTGCTTTAGGTCTTATGAATCGTTTCAGTATCATGATCTGCATAACAAATCGAACTAACTGGGCCATTTCGATCGGCAAAAATCGAGAAATAACACATGCCAATTCTGGATCAATTTAAATTCTGTAACGACGCAAAACATCGTAACTGATCTTAACGTCAATTGAACGTAACTTAAAGGTGTGATGATACATTAAAGATCCATAGCTAACGTTTGCTATAACACCTGATATATGCCATAATATTTGATGTATGCTGTAATATTTAACGCCATCATATTCGACTTATGCCATAACACTTGTTATTGCATGGATATGTAGTGAATAACTGTGGCCGAAGGCCACAGGTTATTCATATATCCATACAATAACTATATTATTTCACGGTGTCTGACGTACAATCCTGTGCAATAACCAAGTAAAAAAAGCACAGGTTGTTACATAAGACCCGTGGAATAAATGTGTAATATTAACGGTCTCTGCTATTAATAAACTATTGATTATAATTATGTATCATGTAATTTATTAATAACGATAATAATAATTATGTATTTTATCTATAACGATAAAAATAATTATAATTACAGTAATATTTGATATTTATATTAATATTTATAAAAACAATTCTTTTATTGTCATATGCTTTATTTTTATTTGAATCGGCTTTTACCCTTTTTTTACATACTTTCTTCGACTATTATGGATTCGTGAGAATACAACTTTATAATTCGTGAAGCCTTTAACCGAATATTAGAGATATTTATTAACAAAAGGAAAAACACGTGAAGCTTGACGGATAGAAGTCGTTATAATGAATGTTTAAATGTACTAAAAAATCTAGACTTTCAGTGTAATGCAAAGTTCAAAAATTGGGTAGTTAATATTTTTAAAGTCTATCGTATTGGTGTAACAGAGGAACTGCACAAGTTTGTTGTATCGAAAATTTTTACAAAGTAATTGTACTGCCCACCAAGCAACTAAGTAGGGATGAGTCCAGTCCGTCTCGGTCCCTAATTGGACCGATTAAATAGTGATTTACGGTCTGGTCTGGTCCAGGTGCCGGTCCCAAAACGGTTCTTCTATAAATACGTCATTTCTAAATGCATGAAATTTTATTGGTCAAAAATGACGTAATTACAAATCGTCGGATATAAACAAACATCATGTGATCTGTGTTACACCTGATCAAGAAATTTGATTGGGTGATATGAATATCACGGAGATGTTTACAAGGACCGGTTTGGGACCGGTCTAACGATCCTATCTATGGTCCCATCAGTCCTGGTCTGGGATCGGTTCAAGACCGGTCCTTGGTGGGACCGATGCAACCCTACAACTAAGCACGGTGTTATAAAAAAAGGTCAAAAAAAAAGGTAAAAATTTATGTTTGTTTTGTTAATAATAATAATAATAATAATAATAACCTTCTTATTAGATTCAGATTAAATACTGCTATATTCTTCAGCAGCTAGTTGAGAATATGATTAATAAATACCAAGTGTGTAATACTCGATGTATTTCTAAAAGAGTTCCACCAATACGCCTTATTGTTTCGGAAGGTTTTCTAAGTCACGTTCAAGTATGTATATTATATTAATTTTAATAAATAAATTTATATAATTAAACAAAATTTAAATTGTATTAGTTCGATACTATCAGTTCTTTTTTAATGTTAAAAGAAACCGCAAATTTATTTAAAACAAAATAGAAGCAAAATATAAAACAAAACAAATTGAACATACAAACCTGGTGATTTAGTAAAAATTCGCATTCCTCCATTGATAAATTAAAGGTGGATCAAAGATCGATCTCTACCAAACATGGTCCCAAAGGAAACCTAACCGTGATTCTTACCAAGTTACCTGCAAATTTGGGGTTCTCGGCAATTGGTACTCAGCAAATGAACTTGAACCACTGGGTGCCCCTAATTATCCTGATCTCATCCTTGTATCACTAAATAACATACTTTTGTTAAGAGAAGCATGTGCCAGACAAAATCTTACACTCTCAACTTGTAACAATAGAAGATCGACAAAGATTGTCTATGTTCTTGCGATCTACATATAAAAATTTCCTTTTTTTAGGTTTCAGGCAAATTTGCCCAGGCGTCAAATAGCAATTCTCTATTGCTATTAACTAATTTTAATTACAATTTTAATTAAAATATTATATTATAAAAAGAAATATTTAAATAGATTTAATCAATAAAAATTTTTAAAAAATTAATAAATTTTTAACAACTACTTAGATATTAAAAATTTTCTTTTATATATTTTGAAAACTATAAAACAAATACTTTTTGTTAATAATTGCTTATTTTTTAAATATTTATATAAAAAACTATTTTTGTATACTAGTGATAAATTTTTTATTTAAATATAAATCTTAATTTAAATACTAATTTAAATCTAAATAAAATTAAAAATTTTTATAAGAAAAATTTTTAATAATTGTCGTGTAGTTATTCAACTACCTATGGCTTTATAGGTCTTTTTATGCTTGGCTTTACCTTATACTGGCGTATTGTGCAGATACTAACCACCAAAGCGAAGACAATACAGATACACGGTTTCTTAACTAAAGTTTACTTTAGAAAACCAATCTTTCGAATTCAAACTTCTAGTTGATTCTCTTAAAGAATCACGACCTTATATATATTATTAATTATTATTGTGTCACTGATTTCATACATAAATTAGTCTTTTAATTAATAACTACAGATTATGCAAAATCAGATCACGCCATCTATGATCACATTACACCAACTGATTACATGGGTACCAAAATTCACCATGATATGAGCTAGACCCCCCTGTACTTTGTCCCCAAAGTACAAATCTACCAACACCTCTAAATTTCCGAACCCTTTCCAACCACTTCTCACAAGACTATCCCTATTTCTGGTAAGTATTTCATTATTCACTTTACCATCAACTACGACTGCGCCACACTTGATTTGTTTAACACCAACATCTCTCATTTTGGCATCAATCCCATATTTCCTTTCACACATTTTCATATATCGTTTTACAGTCCACCACCAACAACATGCAGTCAAGAAGTCCACAAGAACGGATACAAACGGCATCAGCCTATTACGATCAATATTCGTATACCTATATTAGAGAATCTTCATACATTCACTCTTTTCAATTCCTATTCTATTTAGATAACAATAATCATTAATGTCCATTCCATCAGTATTTTTCATTTCAACAGATTTGACCTTTTCAATTTCCCCAGCACAACTCATATTGGTGGGCTCCTGAGGATCATTAAATGCCTCATGTTTATTGATTTCGATTCTAATGCCATTATGGCAGCATAGCGGGCTTTCATTGTAATTGGCTGATTTTTGTAGATCATCCCGTGATATTGCAAAAATATCATT